TTAGCAAATTCCTCACAATTAGCAATGACGATTAGCAAATTCCTCAAGCGTGATCGTATTCAAGCCGATGCTCGCTGAAGCCTTCACGTACCACATTATGCGTTGTGATTGCGATCTATCAGGTTCGTCTCAGGTTTCCGATGACGAGTGATCGTTCTGGAGATCGTGTTTCTTGTTCAGTTAGGCACACAGTTCGGTCATAGTGAGTGATCAGTGTTCAGCTACGCAGTTCACAAACTGGTTCGTTGTGAATCATTTTTTATCGATTATCCTTTGTCGTTCAGTCATCGTTCATTTCATATTGAATCATTTCGTTTAATCTTATCGATTATTATTTCTTATCATTCAAATATTAAAGATGTTTCAATGCTATTCGAGATGTTTTATTATTCTATCCGAAACGCTTCATTGATTAGATAGTTCAGAAGAAAGTTCCATTCAATTAAGTGACGATTTTTAGAGACTGATTCGATAGTGTTTATTTGTTGCATTGACTGAAAATTTATGCACCTAAATGCGGTTGGTTTTAGTGATGATCACTTATCCGTTCATGTCAATTGGGTTTATCTTTCTCTGTCTCCTGTTGATGGTCGCATATGTTGTGTACAGGTAGGCCTGATGATATTCGNGGCAATTCAATGTTCTATGAACAATCCAGATGCATAATTTTGAAGCAAATTTTCCCACAATATCTCTTTTGTAAAATTAACCGAACACGTTGCAAATCCCTCATTTTATTTTCTTCATTCTGTCAAACATAAAAGGTTTTAAACAATTTCAACACGTTACTTTTATCCACTTTTCAAAAACGAAATTCCCATCGCGAGCTACTTGAACAATCGTGCCATTGATAAACAGAGTTTTAGTGTTTAAGCACGATGTGAATTTAGTAACGAATTCAGAAACAGCCTCCACATGAGTGTCTGAGAAAGCCATCTTTTGGCATTCGAGAGTGTGCGAGATGAGTCGAGTTTTATGATTCTGATGCAGTGAACAAATCAGTTTATTACACTGTTTCAAGCAATCATTTCGGCTTATTAACATTCACTTTCAAGTGTTTTCGCAAAAGTGGAAACCGTGCATGAGCAAGTAAAACTGTAAATTTGTTTAGCAACAATCGCACACAATCCGCGCCCAATTCTTATGGAAACGTTGCTACTGCGTGAGGTGATAACTGATCATTCTAGTATGAATCGAGGAAGTCATCAACGTGTTCATTAATCTTTTTTTGGAAGAGAATCATAATCGTAACTCTTCTTAATCATGCATATTTTGCCAGTTTTTCAGGTGTTACCGTGAGCAGAAATTCTATCCACCTCGAGCGCATGAAGGTCCCATCAGGGTAGTCAACGCTCGACGTTTCAGTGATGATGGTTGGTTCCCATCAATTTTTCAACAGTTTGAATTTTCCATTCACTTAATTATCACATCTCCCCACCCAGCTCAAATATGAGTATGAACTATTAGACAGTGGATGTGAAGTTATTTTCGAGTTTTCGGCGTTTCAGTATAGGATATCGATAGTCAGGCGTATTTTCAAAAGTAGGCTGGCTATTATTTTGAACCAATGCCTCATAAAATGCTTATTACTTTGAACCAATGGCTACCAGAAATGCCTATTGTATTGCACGATTTTGATGAAGTTAACCGCCAGAAATTTCAACTTCAGAAATCGCAGCTGCTGTGTCGCATACAACATCAGAATCGCCTTCAACACAGTATCCAGCCTATCGGCCACCACTTGCCGCATCATCTTCCCTTTCCGGACAAAATCACTGCAACACAAGTGCACCTCCCTTGATTCGACAGCCAGTGCCAAGACCAACTGAACTGAATGGCGTTGACGACTCGCCGCCTCCACCATATTCATCGGTATGCAATCGTCCAGAATCGTGTTCATAAATTTTAGCAATTCACATCGCAGCAATGTAAACCAAGCAACCATTGTACTGCTGGCTACAGTACCATCAAATGGAGCAAAATGTTTTCCTGTGTTCAAATTTTTGATATATTCGGCATTTTCCGTCCAAATTTGTTCTTGATCTCAAAGTTTGTTCGAAATCCACACGAAAAAGTGATTCTCTTTGTTGATTCCGAGGTGAAATGTGTTAATGTCATGAAATATTCAATGAAATGTCGAAAAAAAAGAGATAGTGAAGTATATGTTTGGAAACATCATTTCAAAATTTATTGTGATCCATAATGTATGTGTGTTTGTGCATGTTAAGCTCAATGTGGCATTCATTTGAAACGGCTGAACTGCCTCTTCAAACGTATATCTCCGTATTGTATGGATTCTGTTGATGATCCGTTAATATGTATCTGTTTTTATGAAACGCTGAGTTTTTTGACATTTTGTCTACGATGTTGTTTGTACATATATTTGTTTACGTGTATGCATTGTATATGCGTTTCGAAACTAATAGTGAAATCGAATTCGATTGTAATATGATTCAATTGTTAGTAAAATATATTCGGAAGGAAAGATATGTTTTCTTCACTTTCTGCACAGTTCCGACTAGTGATGTCTCTGTTCCAGTTAAACTGTTCTATTCCTGCTCTATTCCTGTTCTGTTCCATGGAATAGAATAGAACAGTTCGTAACTGAGGAAGGAACAGTTTGGAACAGAATAGAGCCGTTTTTGAGCCCAAAAGAACAGAATAGAACAGTTTTCAAAAGCGTGCTACAGAGACATCACTTGTTCCGACTAATGAATTCGAATTGAGTCCTTTTCAACGTGAGACTCCGAAGTAACAGTGGTGCGCTCACTTTCTCTGATGAACATTAATGTTCAGAATTAAGAAATCTGATGGACAGTTGAGGATTTAGGCGATTATTTCCTTAGAATTCGACGGTTATCTTGAATTAATTGCCTGCACTAACTTCTTTAGCGGCAATGACGCACGGGTAAGAAAAAGATCCTTTCAGCAATTTTAGAAACGGATTACAATTGGATATTCACTTTGGTCATTTCATAATGATAGAACAATCCGCTGGAACACTAGTTTGGAATTTTCATATGTTGCTATTTGAGATACTGAAGACTGGTTCAAGCTTGATTCTTCCGAAATTCAACGCCGTTCTGTTTATCATTTTTCAATGACTTTTTCGGAGTGGTAGAATTGTGAAGAGGTAATGCATGAGGAGAGGTAATGTTTAAGATTATCTACACCTCATGCAATGGCAAAACTGAGATATTCCAATGTAAAAATGGTCATATCTCACATGAATGGTTTTTGGTATGTGTCTTTGATCGTTGAGTCGTACATAAAAGCTGGATAATTGAGTGTTGAAGAAGCATTTGA